CAGAGTAGAACTTCCCAATAGAGTTTCCAAGGAATGCTTGGTGGATTTCAACTGCCAACCTTTTGGTTAGCTTCGTAGCACTTAACCACTATGTCAGGGTTTCCAACTGGCTAATAGTGTTATTCAAATTTCTCTTTATTGATTTTCTGTCTAGCTGTTCTATTACTGAAAGTGGTGTATTGAAGTCTCCTACTATTATTGGAGATTATTAGAGCTGGATTTATAAATTTTGGGGCTCTGACGTTAGGTGCATAGATATTTATAATTGTTGTATTTTCTTGCCCAACACGTCCACGGCCAAATCTCATCCTCATCAACAAATCTAGTTTTAGAATTTTCTTTTTCCCACTAATGCCACCACCATCTAAACCCAGATGAACAAGTTAGAAAGCTCCAGTTATCCTTCATTCTCCCTCAATCTTTCGATCAATCTTCAAGTTCTTTGAGTTGCCTCTTAAGTGTCTCTCAAATTTGTCCCCTTCCTCATCTCTCCCACACCCTCTATGATCCAAATTTCTATATCTTGGTTAGTGAAGAAATCTGCCTAGATTCAACACTTGGTTTTGGTTGAGTGACTTTGGGCAACTTACCTAACCTCTTTTACTAAACCAAGTTTTTCATCTGTAAATTGAGAGGAATACTACGATTTTCTTCATAGAGTTGTTGTGAGGATTAAATAAGATTATGAATGTAGGGTTGAGCACAGTATCCAAGACATATGTGCTTAATTAACGCTAACTGCTATTATTACTATCATCTCATGCCTAGATTACTGAAATTATGTCCTGTCTTCTCATGCTTCCTCTTGTTCCTCTCCAATCTTCTATCCATAACTAGAAAGATCTTTAAAATTGTGTAACTCTGATCATGTACTCCTCTATCTCCCTCAAAACCTATTAATGGCTTCATAGGGCTTTTAGAGTAAAGGCAGACTCATTTTTTACCACTCCTGCCCCTTAATCCCTTGCTTTAACCAAATTGGCTTTAAATTCCTTAGATAAGCCATGTTCACTCCATGAGGGGTTTTACCCATAATATTATCCTTGTTTGAACCCTCCTGCTTCACGTCAGTTTAGTCCTAATCATCCTTCTGACCTCAGCTGAAAAGTCACTTCCCCTCTGACTAGGTCAGATGCCTCTATTTTGCATTCTCATTGCACCGTGTTCCTCTTGGTCCCAGAATGTCTCAGTTTGCAAATACACATTTAAATGAGTGATCATTATTTAGGGACATCTTTGATGTCAGACGGATCTTGGCTGAAAGCAGAGAAGACCAGAGAGATGTTTACCTGTTTTATTGAGTATGCAAAGGCATTCAACTGTGTGAGTCATAACAATTATGGATAACATTGCGAAGAATGGGACTTCCAGAATGCTTAATTTGTGCTCACGAGGAAACCTGTAGGTAGACCAAGAGTCAGTCATTTGAACAGAACAAGGGGACACTGTGTGGTTTAAAATCAGGAAAGGTGTGAATCAGGGTCATATCCTTTCACCATACTTATTCAATCTGTACACTGAGCAAATCTGAGAAGCTGGACTATATGAAGAACAGGGCATCAGGATTGGAGGAAGACTCATTAACAACCTCCAATATGCACATGACACAACCTAGCTTGCTAAAGAGGACTATAGGCACTTACTGATGAAGACAAAGACTACAGCCTTCAGTATGGATTACACTCAACATAAAGAAAACAAAAATCCTTAAAACTGGAGCAATAAGCAACATCATGATAAGCAGAGAAAAGACTGAAGTTGTCAAGGATTTCGTTTTACTTGGATACATAATCAATGCCCACGGAAGCAGCAGTCAAGAACTCAAACAACATATTGCATTGGGAAAATCTGCTGCAAAAGACCTTTTTCAAGTGTTAAAAAGAAAAGGTGTCACCTTGACGACTAAGGTGCACCTGACTCATGCCATGGTATTTTCAATAGCCTCATATGCAAGTGAAAGTTGAACAATGAATAAGGAAGGCCGAAGAACTGATGCCTTTTAATTATGGTGCTGGCAAAGAATACTGAATATACCACAGACTGCCAGAAGAATGAACAAATCTATCTTGGAAGAAGTACAGCCAGATAGCTCTTTATAAGTAAGGATGGTGAGACTTCTTCTCATGTACTTTGGCTATGTTATCAGGAGGCACAGTACTCGGAGAAAGACATCATGTTTGGTAAAGTAGAGGGTCAGTGAAAGAGAGGAAGACCCTCAGTGAGATAGACTGACACAGTGGCTACAACGATGGGCTCAAGCCTAGCAGTAATTGTTGAGGGACCGGACAGTATTTTGTTCTGTTGTACATAGGGTTGTTTTGAGTTGGAATGGACTCGCAATGGCACCTAACAACAACAAATAACATTTATTTGTGTGTTCCCTCCAACAGGCATCTCACAATCTCACACTGAGCTCCTAATATTGCCTCTACCCAAACATGTTCTTCACCATCTCCTTCCTCTCAGAAAACAGCAACAGCATTCTTCAAGTTGCGCTGGACAAAAACCTTGGATTCTCCTCCTTTCACACTCTTCATCAGCAAATCTTACTGCCTTCCCAGAATGCGACCACTTTTCCCATTATAATTGCTATTCACCGTGGTCCAAGCCACATAATTCCTTCCTGGATGGTTGTAATGCCTCCCAGCACATTTCCCTGCTTCTGTTTTTGCCTCCACCACTTTCTCCCTTCAATCTATTCACAAAAAGCCAGCTAGGTTGATCCTCTAAATATATGTCAGATCATGTCACTCCTCTATTGAAAACCTCCAATGACTTGCCATCCCACTCAGAGTAAAAGCCAAAGTCCTTCCAACAGACAACAAGGTGCTACACCTTCTGGTCATGTGTCACACCCTCCAAACTCTCTGACCTCATCTTTGATTCTTCCCATCTCTAAAGCAGCTCCAGTCACATGTGACTGTGTACAATTCCATGAACATGTCAGGCATGCTCCCTTCTTTTCTTTACCTCTGCTTGTAAACACTCATTAGAATCACTCAGTGAGGTCTTCCTTGGCCATCCTATGGAAAATCTCAACACTCCCATCTCACACACATACCTATTCCCCTTTTCAACGCACTTAACTGTAGCATGCTATATATTTTATCTGCTTAGTGTATTTCTCTCTCTCACACTAGAATGTGAGCTCCATATGAGAGAAGGGATTATCTGTTTTGCACACTGCTATGTCCCCAGAACACAAACAGCTTATAGTAACTGCTCAACATTTGTTCTGTCAAATAAATGCTCAATGAGAATAGCCACCAAATTAGCTAAGAAACTACACTGATTTTTCTGGCCTCTTCTGGTTTTCTGCTAATATTACTAAAGCTCAAAAGGTGCTTTAAAAACACTGGCGTCATGCTCCAAGAACTGTTCCTTCTTTCCATCTTTAAAATAGAGATAATAAAACGAGGTGAAAAGTTGTCAAGGTCAAATAAAATGATATGATAATTTTTAAAATATTGCCTGGTTACAGCTTTTATTCTGAGCACTTTCAAACAGCTTTGCAAACTCTGAGGATCTTTGATCATGCTTCAAGGATTCTGCAGAGAATGATATTTCCCTCTACAAATAAAAATTTAAAATACATATAGACAAAAAAATAAAAGAGAAGTTGTCAGAGAAAGCCATTCATTTCTGTTGTTTTTTACTTAAGAGTTTTAGTAGAATGTAGGTTAAAAATGGTTTCTGTTGCTAAGAAAATTGGAAAATAATTTATTTTTCCCTACACTTTACAGAAAAGACAACTGGCCTGCAAAGGAGAGGAGTACCTTTCTTCTTCTATGAAAACAGAGCAGTTCTTCACAAACCAAGCCAAGTTGAAACTTCCTGGTTAGTTATTGCCGTCTGTGTATTTGAATGCTGGGCTTCCAATCATTTTTGGAAACACCTCAAATTATAAATAGTTTTGAAACAAGAAGTTACAACAGGCCCCTTCTCATCTTCCAACATCAGCTTTTAAAATAAAGGTGTCATGTCATCGATTGTGTGGACACACCCACTGCATCACGAATGGAATTAAAGAACGGTTATGCAAATCTGCGCCAGGCAGTGTAAGTCTACGCCTCAAAGGCTGCACAGAGGAAATCCTGTCCCCTCCGCCCCCTCCAGGCTCAGGCCCCGAGCGAGTTCGGAAAGTAGCGGCGGCTCGGGGCCCCGAGCAGGCCTCCCGACTCTGCACAGCTCGCTCGCGCCTCCGGAAGCGCCAGCGCGCCCGACAGGAAAGCCTCAGCATCATCCGGAGGAGCGAGGGGCTGCTGGCGACTGCTGCTGGCTCCAGCCCGACCTCGGGTACCACGCGCCTGGAGGGGGGAAGTGGCTCTTTCGCCTTGCAGCATCTCGCGAGATTTCGCCGGCTTTGCCCAAGTACTGCGAGTTCAGAACTTAAAAAAAAAGCGAGCCGGCGAGAACCTCAGGAGCTGCCGCCGTGGTAGTAGCTGCTGCGAGAGCATCTGCTACCGGCACGCGCCCAGGCAGGGCCCGCCCACCCGTTCGTCCGCCGGGCCGGGCGCCGTCTGCAGCCCTGTAGCTTGGGCTGCCAGTCCACTGACGCGTAGCCCTAGAGAGGGAGGCGCCGGGGGGCCCGCTCCTCTACGCCGCAGAGGGGGGGGGGGGGGGAAGGAGGTGGAGAGGTGGGAGGAGGACGACGGAAGAGGAGGTAGCGGCGCGCAGATCTTCTCGGCGACAGCCGCGCCTGATCGCGTTGTACCCGCTGCTCGCGCTGCCCAAGGCCTGGCGCGACTGGCTGGACGCGACCCCTGCGCGGGCCGCTTTTCCGTGGGGTTGCTTAGGAGTGCCGAAGGGCACGGGCGCAGACTGAGCGCCCGCCGCGCGCTATTGCGGGACCGCGGGTGGGCGGGCTGAGGGGCGGAGGAGCCCCCGGCCCCGCCTCCCGCGTGCTGCAGCCGGAGCAGCAGCCACCGCGGCCCCGCCGAGGCTTTAAACAGCGAGGCCCGCCCCGCGCCCGCTTCACTCGCGCGCTGACTCGGCTGCTGGCGGCGGCAGGCGGGCGACGGGGAGAGCGACTCCTTCACCTGGTGTTGCGGCCGCGGCCACCGCCGGCCAGGGGCGCGGAGGGCGCGTAGCCCGCGACATCTGCCAGGCTCTCCGGCTTCGCCGGTGGTCGGGCGGCGATGGAGCCGGGGCCCACCGCGCCCTCCTCCTGCGCCCAGAGGCCGGTAGGGCCCGGGGAGACGCCGTCAGCCCCTGCGCTGGCGGCTGCCGAGGTGGACCTGCCCGGCACGGCCGTGCCCTCGGCGCCGGAGGATGCTGCGGCCGCTAGCCAGGGCGGCGGCGTGGTCCGCGGGGAGGGCGTCGCGGCGGCTGGGGACGGGCTGGGAAGACCTCTGGGGCCCACCCCGAGCCAGAGCCGCTTTCAGGTGGACCTGGTCTCCGAGAGCGCCGGGCGGGCCGCGGCTGCGGCTGCGGCAGCGGCGGCCGGGGCGGGGGGCAAGGAGACCCCCGCGTCCGTAAAGACCATTGAAGAGAGCGGGCCGACCAAGGGCAGTGAGGAAGCCAAGGGCCGCTTCCGCGTGAACTTCGTGGATCCGGCTGCCTCCTCCTCGGCGGACGACAGCCTGTCGGATGCGGCGGGTGTCGGAGGCGACGGACCCAACGTGAGCTTCCAGAACGGTGGGGACACTGTGCTGAGTGAGGGCAGCAGCCTACACTCAGGCGGCGGCGGCGGCGGCAGTGGGCACCAGCAGCACTACTACTATGACACCCACACCAACACTTACTACCTGCGCACCTTCGGCCACAACACCATGGACGCGGTGCCGAGGATCGACCACTACCGGCACACTGCCGCGCAGCTGGGCGAGAAGCTGCTCCGGCCCAGCCTGGCGGAGCTCCACGACGAGCTGGAAAAGGTGAGCTCGCCAGTCCCCTCCCTGCAGCTCCCTGACCACTGGTCCGCGCTGACCGCGGGATGTGGCTGCAGCCTTCGCTGGGTGAGGTGGCGGGAATGAATGCGCTCCACTTTCTGGCATATCTGGATTCAGCTGTCAAGGGTGGAATTGCAAGGAATGTAACCTAATCGCTTAAAAGTTTGCAGCGGGTTAGGCTAGTTAAAACGTGATATTGGAGAAGGCTGCATTTAACAACCGTCGCATCCAGTTAAATATCTCTTTTTACGCCTTTTTTCTCACCCAGCTTAACAGGTATCACCTCTCTGAGGGCAGTTGTGTTTGTGCCTACTCCCCTCCTGGAAAGGAAATGTTACGGAGGTTTAGGCGGTTTAGGCGTGGACGTCTCTTGGGAGAGAATGGAGCGCACCTGCCATATGTGCCCATTTTAAAGATCGTATAGTATGGCTTATGTACACCCATTAGGGATCCCTGGAGTGGGAACGTTGGTATTTGAACGAAAATCTTTGTGGTTTGTGAATTATTAAAGTTCAGTGCTTGCAGACTTGAATATACAAAAGATTATAAAAATCTTAAATCTTGGAACGTGCTGTTTCTGATAATGGCATAAATCCATTTTATTTATAATGTGAATCTTTTGGGAGGGGACTATATGCAAAATTTGGGGTGGCGGGGAGAAGGGTCTTTGGAAAAAAAAAAAAAGACAATTGGTTTTTCTATGAAGAATGTCCAGAAAGTTCTTCTGGGGTCTTTGCATAGCAGCTTTACTTTGTGAACAGAAAACCATCCCCCATTAACTCTTAATTTCTGTATTTCTATTTTTTAAGGTCACATAAGACTTCTCTTCAGTGTTTAAAATAGTTATCTTGAGATAACATTGGTGCTTTTGAGATTTGGTTAATATTTAGCTTTTTTATGAGTTGGTATTACCGTGAAGTCTGCATTTACAAGTGTATAATGACGACATTGATGGAATTTCGTGACTGCAAAGAGTTGGCACCACATAGGATGAAATGATCATAGTTTGACAGAGTTTAAATACTGAATGTATGTGATTTATTTTGGATATGATTTCTTTATTTTGGATATTCATTTCATAGAAGAGGATATTGTCCCAAAGTTTGATAATGTAATATTCATACGGTTTGAAATAATTGCAATAGTTACAGCTTCTTATTGTTCAAAAGCTTGACATCATTTAGCTCTAGATAATACTACTACTCTTACTCCATTGTGTTATTGTGTCATATCAGAAGCAAAAACAATTTTTTCCTTAACGCCCAAAATCCTTGTAGACTAAAGTAGATATGAAACAGGCAGGTTTTCTTTTCTTAGAGTGTTTTACTATTGAAAATATTACACAGATTTATTTCACCAAAGCAGAGTAGTTTAGTAGTAAAGCAGTCTATTTGCTTTTTAGAAAGTAAGTTTTAGGAAGTTTTTTTTCCGAATTGGAAATTTTAGAAAGGCCTTTTGTCTTTTTTTTTATAATCTTTTTTTTTTTTTTTAATTGTTGTACTTTAAGTGAAAGTTTATGATTCAAGTTAGTCTCTCATACAAAAATTTATACATACGTTGTTATGTGACCCTGATTGCTCTTCCTATACTGTGACAGCACACTCCTTTCCATCCCTGATTTCCCGTGTCCATTCAACCAGCTCCTGACCCTCTCCGCTTTGTCATCTCACCTCCGGACAGGAGCTGCCCATTTAGTCTCATGTGTCTACTTGAGCTAAGAAGCACACTTTTCACAAGTATCATTTTATGTCCCGTAGTCCAGTCTAATCTTTGTCTGAAGAGTTGGCCTTAGGAATGGTTTTAGTTCTGGGTTGACAGAGAGTCTGGGAGACGTGCTTGCTGGGGTTCCTCCAGTCTCAGACCATTAAAAAGTCTCATCTTTTTACTGGAATTTGAGTTCTACACCTACTTTTCTCCTGCTCCGCCAGGGACTCTGTTGTCTCTCCTGTCAGGGCAGTCATTGGTGGTAGCTGGGCACCATCTAGTTCTTCTGGTCTGAGGCTGATGAAGTCTCTGGTTTATGTGGCCCTTTCTGTCTCTTGGGCTAATACTTTCCTTGTGACTTAGAAAGGCTTTTTGAATTGAAGTATGTTACCTTGAACTTCTGTGATTCCTAGGAAGTTTTCATCATTTTAAATTGTTTTCTCAGTAACAAAGCTCTTCAAGTTCTCTAAAACTGTAGGTTCCTTAGGTGTTTTATGTTGTGTGTGTGTGTGTGTGTGTGTTGTGGTCGGTTTACAGTGTCTTAAACACAGCACCTGTATTGTTAGCTGTGTAGTAGTTGAAGAAGTCACCCAAACCCAGCAGCTTTCAGGGTTACTGTGAAGATTGGAAAAAACTGAACATAAAGGACCAAGCTCAGTGTGTGAAAAATAATGGCTAGTGTAGTTATTATTTCACCCTTGTATTTGTCCTTTAGGAAGTACAGTGTTAAACTCCAGGATTCCCTTTTAGATTCATATGGAGTGCTATATACTTAGGTGAACATAGTGTATAAAATGCTGTTTGAATTTTCATTGCTGCAACAAGTAGTCTAATGAATATTTTAAGAATTAAAAAAAAAATCTACTACTGAGGTCCTTTATGGCTGATGACAGAGGTAGGTTAGGTTAATTAAGCATAGAACCACACATTGAAGATACTTTTATGTAGAATTTTAGCAAGTGAATTAAAGAAACGTGTGATGTTCAGTAGTACATCATGGCTATAGAGATATACCACTGTTGCAGAGTTGGTGGGGAAGGACTGATGACATGGGTTGGCCAGATCCTCAAGAATTGGTCTTCACCCTGTCTAGATTGACTCTTAGCTTCTTAAAAACTTCTCTAATGCTTCTAAGTCTCAGTGAATCATATTATGTAGAATTCCTATAACATTAAATTCTGTTGCTTGATTATATGTTGTCATGTAGTAATCACTACGTGTTTAGGTATCTACCATGTGTCTGAATCTATTTAGGAACTATGGAAGAACAAAAGAAGGAAAAGACAAGCTCTCCAGAAACTTGTTAAGGGAAAGGACTGTACTGTCCACTTCTTTCCCCTTGATTTACTTTCGGTGTCCAGCACTGTGACTTTTAAAGGTATTTTGCCAAAATACCCAACCGAGCGGGAGTAGTTAAATAACAGTGTTGCATCTTTCTGTACTATGCAACTGTTCTAGAGCCAAGACTCATGAGTTCTCTGTTTATCAAATATTTATTGGAGAGAGGAGATGGCTTTTAGGTGCTGTCCACTTGGCTGTGGCACTGTGGGATGATGCAGTGATTAACAGAACAGATACTGCCTCTGCTTAAACAGACATTAGCCAAAGAGTTGCACAAATATATAGTTACAAATAATATTTTCAGTGCTACAAAAGAAAACTATAGAATGCTAAAACCAAAAAACCAAACCCATTACTGTCTAGTTGAATGCTAATAAGGCTATAGTGGGACATAATCTTGATTGGGATATTGGGGAGGCCTTTTTCAAGAACTGTGACATTGAAGCTGAGACTTGAAGCGTTAAGTTGACAATAAGGCAGAACATTCCAGGCCAAAAGAACAGCATGTGAGAAGGTAGTGAAGTGAGAAAGTGCTTGGTATGTCCCAAGAACTAACAGAAGGCCAGTGTAGATTTTATCATAAGTACAGTAGAAAGCTAGTGAAGAATTTTGTGTGAGGGAGTCACATGATGTGTTTTGTTTTAATACCTCTGGGTGAAGAATGGATTGGCTGGAGCAAGAATGGAAGTAGACGACCCAAGCTATTGTTTTGGTCTGGGTTAGAGATAATAAGAGTTGGTGGCAGAACTCATTGGATGTGGGGTGGATTGGATATGGCAGACAGAGGGAAGTTGACTCCAGGTTTTGGGCTTGAGTAACTGAGTAGATGGTGGTACTATTGCTTGAGATGGGAAAGACTGGAGAAGGAATAGATTTGGCGAGGGGAGAGGGGAGAATTCTGTTTGAGTAGTCTGTAGGACATTTTATTCCAAAAGTCATTTTGAGAAATGAAAGGATGGTGTTTATAATGTCATGGATGAAATCACTTAGGGAGAGTTGGTAGATTTGATAATTAAATAGGTTCCAGAATTGGGTGTAGAGAAACTCAGTCTGTTAGAGAATGATGTGCCACTAGCAAAGGAAATTTAAAAAGGAGCTGCCAGGCTAGTGAGAAATAGCCAGGAAAACAGCATCAGGGAAGCTGAGAGAAGAGTTTTAAAGGAGGCAGGAACTCTTCAAACCTGATGCTAGGAATTAAAAAAAAAAAAACTAATAAAAAAATCAAACCAAAGTAGTGATTTCTGTTTCTATTTAAAAAAAAAAAAACCACAAAAAACAGACATGAAAGTAGAGAGTTGACAGAGAAATATTTGATGGACAACTTCAGAGTATGTGATACAAGCTATGGTTGATAAATGTGGAAAAGTCTAGTGGTGGGCAATCCATAATAATCCCTGCTGGATTTAAAGCATTATTAAAACAGTTTTAAATGTCAGTTACCTCTGCAGTTGTCTTTAGTCAAGTCTTCGTATGTGGAGTTGCTCGTTCTTACATTAATAAAAGGGGGAAGTTAAAGGGAGCAACTGTACTGAGTGTCTTTTATGTCTCACCCAGCTAGTTTTTTTTTAATGCCTAAGAAATAGATCTTATACACATTTTGCTCATGATAAAATGGGCTCAGAGAAGCTGAAAAAATTGCCTAATGTCGCTGTCATAGAAAGTGTTGCAGCTGGAATCCATGCCCAGGTTTTTCTGACTCCATGGCCAGGACATAGTAGGTCCAGGTTATTATCCCTTTCTTCTACCTCAGACCTGCTCTCAGCTGACAGGAATGTGAGGAGAACACCTTAAGGATTATCACCATCACCTCTCCAGCTTGGCCTCCTAGAAGTGGAATAAGTGTGTAATTGAGAGAGGCGGAGGATGTAGTGATGATGTAATTATTTATTTATATGACTGTCTGCTACTATATAGCTTGGGTTTCCGTTTCCATTCTTGCC